CCACAGTGCCTGACACTGGTGCATGCCCAGACCTCGGCAGAGCAGTGGTCAGGTGCACCATGAGGAGTGCCACCACAGCAGGACGGGTGGGTGCTGAGAGCTGATGGGGACAAAGGCAAAGACCCCTCCCCTCTCTCTACATCCCAGGAACGAAGGCAGAACAATGCCAAGGGCTCTGCTGCCCCCACACAAAGCCCTGCTTCTCAGGGTCTGCTTTCTAGAATGCCCCCTGGATAGGCTTCAGCTCCCTTTGCCTCTGTCGCGTCTCTTTTGTCACCTGTGAAACAGGGACAGCACAGGCGCCTACAGAAATGAAGGAAGGCGTGTTACATGCTCGGCACCCAGGAAACACTGTGTTAGCTCGGATCAGTGCTTTTGCTTTAGTCACTAACAGTGCTGCTCAGCCCTGCACCTCTCGCCCACCTGCCTGCTTGTCCCCAGGGGAGCTGGCTTTTCTTTTTCATGGGAACCCCACTGATGGATCTTCTCATCTGGTTGAGTCCTTTTCATGTCTCTAAGGAGTTACCCACACGACCTAGGGGCTTTTGGGGGCAAATAGCCATGCTGGGATCTATGCTGGGCCCCATTGCCTCCTCCCTCTGACTGGTGCTGCAGGAGCAGGGTGAGGGGTGTCTGTCCTCTCTCCCTGGGGAGCTGCAGAGGAGCCTCCCGGACAATCGCTTGTGTTCTGTGTTCATGAAAAATACTCTGCAGGAGGCGGCCACCAGGTCGACAGCCTCAGCATCTCCTGGGGACACACTCTCGGCACACGAGGAGAAGTCCCCTACGCGGTGCCCTAAGACACCGCTTGGCCTCCTGCCCTGCTCAGTTGTCTGCTGCCTCGCTTCCTGCACCCCTCCTGACACACATGTCACCAAGGGGATTTGGAGCTTGCATGGCCTCTGCTGCTCCGTGTTACCACACGGGGCCTTCCTAGGGGCAGGGGGACAAGGCTGCCAGAGAAAGTGCAGGTGACACAGCCACAGCCAAGTCAGGCCGGGCTAGATGACAAGGGTCTTTCTCTCTGCTGGATGCCACTTGGCAGGGCCAGAAGGAGGGCTTAGCTGAGCCTGCCAAAGGCCAGAGGCTGGAGCTGTTCCCAGGGCAGACAGCAGGTGCTTAGCTCAGGTGGAGGTCTGCCCCAGGATTGCCGCTTCCTGTCTCACCAGGACAAACCACGGAGGCCACTCTTGCAGGTAGTGGGCTCTGGTACTGCTGCATCCGACCATCTGTGTGACCTTGAACTTGTCTCCTGGACTTTCTGCGCCTCAGTTGCCTTATTCGGTAGGTAGCAGGGGAATAGTTGACCTGTAAGACCCTTTGCCCTGCCAGCACTCCTGTGGGACTCAAGGGTGGGATTCAGCACCTGTGAGCTTTGTCCCCAGCAGTGGTCCATCTGTGTTCTTGGTCCTCCATGGTCATTGTGGAAGGCTGAGCATAAACAGAAAATGCATTTTCTTTGCTTCCAGTTCAGGTGTCATGCACCTGTGATATTTAAATATTACCTGAAAACATACAAAGGAGCCAAATCCAGGATGCAGCTGACAATCCCCTCTGAGCAGAAAAATGTGACTTGATTTCTGATTAGTCATTTTGGCTTTTAAAAAAAAGATTTATTTATTTATTTGTTTGGAAGTCAGAGTTATAGAGAGAGGGAGAGACACACAGAGAGAAATCTTCCATCCACTGGTTCACTCCTCAAATGGTCAAAATGACCAGGGCTGAGCCAGGCCAAAGCCAGGAGCCTGGAACTCCATCTGGGTCTCCCACACAGGTGGCAAGGACCCAAGCACTTGGGCCATCTTCTGCTGCTTTCCCAGGCACATTAGCAGGGAGCTGGATCAGAAGAGAAGTCAGCACTTGAACCAGCAATGGCCTCAGCATTTCAGCTTTAAAGCCAAGCTTAGTTAAAAATGATGGCTGAGAGATGCTTTAAGACTTAATTTGCAGGGCCAGTTCTGTGGCTCACTAGGTTAATCCTCTGTCTGCGGCGCTGGCATCCCATATGGGCGCCAGGTTCTAGTCCCTGTTGCTCCTCTTCTAGTCCAGCTCTCTGCTGTGGCCTGGGAGTGCAGTGGAGGATGGCCCACATGCTTGGGCTCTGCACCCGCATGGGAGACCAGGAAGAAGCACCTGGCTCCTTTCTTCGGATTGGCGCAGCGCTGGCTGTAGCGGCCATTTTGGGGGTGAACCAAAGGAAGAAAGACCTTTCTCTCTGTCTCTCTCACTGTCTATAACTCTACCTGTCAAATTAAAAAAACAGACTTAATTTGCAATACCTCCATAGCGAGCCAGACTGGTGCTGTGTGTGGGTGTTGAGGAATCTCTTGCTATTTTTCCTCACCTTCCATTGGGTGGCATCAACCAGACCTTGCATGAACAGCATTTCAATGGCTTTCCCCACAACTAACGCCTACTTGTTAAAAGCGAACTCATGTGTCAGGAAAACACATTTCGACTCATTGCTGTGTGAGCCACTTCAGTGACTGGCAATCTTCTTACTGAACAGCTGGGTGTGCAGAAGACGGAAGGTGTAAAAAATGCCGGAGGAAAGACATCTTCCCTGCGCGCAAGGGTGAGCAAAAGCACTCCTTCAAGGCTCTTCCCAGCTTGCTCTCAGCAAGTTCGTAACATCTCGTGGTGAGGCAGAGAGCTTACACTTTCTTCCGGCTGGCTTCCTCCATGAACGACAGAAGGTTCTAGGCGATCCAGGTGGCAGCCTGAGGCTCTGAGTATCAGCTGCCGACTTGCACCCAGCCTCCTCTGCGTGCCAGGGCAGTCAGCAAAGATGGAATCCCTGAACTCAGGAGGCAGCATGGCAGTGTGGTTGCTCGAAACTTGAACTTGGGTAAATTGACAGCTTTTCTGTGCCTGGAGTAGAGTCCCTGATGGGGCCCCTCGGTCATGTGTCTAATGATGTTGTACTTTCGTACGTGGTACAGCCCATCTCCCTTGGAGAGAACACCCATAAATAGACTGGCACCCTGCTCTCTGCTTACCGATTCTCACCTGGCTTCCAACACACAGAACAGCATAGCTTCGGGGGGCCTCGTGGGTTTTCCCCTTCAGATTCTGTTCACCCTAATTGCCACATGTTGAGGGCTGGCTGGGCACAGGACCCTTTCAGGCAGCGAGTCATGTGTTCCTTTCCATCGTGCCTCTGGAGGCTCCAAAGACCCTCCCTGCCTCCTCCCGCCCCCTCATGCCCCTCTCTCCAGCCCCTGCCAAAGACCACCTTGAACTCATTCTCTCTGTACAAATTCTGCTCCAGCTAAAATCAAGCGAGGAGGGCAATTCAGCTAGCTCCTTTGGCGGCATGACTTCGCACTGCAGATTTCAGAACGTGCCCGTGTTCTGGGACAGACGCATCTAAGAACACATCTGGGGCCTGCAGCAAGCGCTGGCCTGCCACAGACGTGTGCTCAGAGCCAGACTTGGCATCACTGACGCTCTAGAGGAATGTAATCTCCTTTTCTCTGTTTCATCCTCCAGGACTCCCGAGTGTCTGAGATGCCATTTTTTAGCACATAAATTCCTAATCTTGCTGGGCACAGTGGCTAATAAGATGCTACATGCAGGTGGATAACTTAAATATTCCAGTGGCACCCCAAACAGCCCTGCATTTCCGTGTTAAATTCATTAATCTTCGGCAGTTCTGAAACGCATAGGTTATGGTCTTCTCAGTTGCATTAAAAAAAAAAAATCGCGCACGGTGTTGTCTCTCCTATAAGGAATGGGTGTTCACTCCAGTTTGCTGGGAGAGAAGGGGGGGGGGTGCCACCTGCCACTGCCCACCCTTTCCTGCCCTGACCTTCCGTTCCTTTAGACTTGGCTGTGGAATGATGGTGACATCCAGGCGCTGTAGGTGGGGCTGCAGCAGGAATTGCTCACCTTGAATCTTATTTCTATATATGTAACATCTACCTACCGTGTATGTGTAACATCTACCTAATGTGTTACATATATTATACACATTTTAAGGAGAACTTCATTCGACTTTGATTCAGTTGTGTTTTGCATTCCTTTGCATCCCTTCTCAAGATGCAAGGAAAGCAAAGGCAGGCACTGATCCACGGCAGGCCACGTTTATCAAAGCAGGTGACTTGCTGGGGGCAGAGTCCAGTGGGACGGTACCCAGAATCCCCTCCTGTGTCTCTTCTCCTGCCTCCCCCTAGGGAAGCAGACTCGGAGAGCAGGACAGGCAGGCACTTCCGTCTTCCCAAAGTGAATGCTCATATTCCCTAAACGTGTGCACGGGGACTTCAAGGACTGCATGAGAAATGTAAAGAAAACACAATTGTACTTTGATGCAAAAAAGAATTTTAAAAATCTAGTTTTTTAATAAGCATTTTTCATGAACTTTTCTTGGCAGACTCTCTCCCATGCACGGGAGGGGAGGCACCAAAGTAAACGTATGTTTTAGCTCTGTTTTCTACAAACTTTTGAGGTCCTCTTCACACAAATTTCAGATACAGCATGGATAAAATCGACTTAAGTCACCTCACCTGGTGACCCTAACGTTCTCGGGGTTAAAGGGTCATGGTGTGCCTGCACTGCTCCATCAAAAGAGCGGTTTGGGTTTCATTGATAAATATGGAAATGTGAGGGAGCCAGAAGGGCTGTCTTCACCTTCTCTGAGAATTCAGTCTTCATCTCTAAGGAGACACCTCCATCCCTAGCCCAGCTGCTCGAAGCGGGAATTCAGACCTGCGTTTGGTCTGCTAAGATAGCAAGGGTGTCTTCCAAGAGATAGTTGAACAGAAACTGATTTTTATGAGAAATGTCTTATTTAGCCACTGAAAGGAAGTCAGTTTTAAAAGACCTGCTATCCCTGTTTGGCTAATAATGGGCAGGTGAATTTTCTGATTTTTCTCATTTGCTTACTGTGTTATTTTTATAAATTAGAAAGCCGTACCTCAACATGCGGAATCCCAGTTGCTTAACTAGCATACGGGGCTATTTTGCTTTATCACACAAATCGAACGAAAACCCGTAAAAAATCAGACTTTACAGTTTTATTTGGATTATGTACAGTGCAAGGAAACCAGATTAAAGGGAAAAGAAAATGCTACATTCGGCTAACGACAACAAACAACAAAAAACCCGAAACACGAAAGTCAAAGCCAGCTGCTCACAGAGATCATAAAATAATTTTTTTGGGGGGGTGAACAATTTGCTGACGCCTGTAACGAATCACGCCGGGTCGTGCCTGCGGTGCCTCGGGGACACGGGTGCGCCACGGCGCAGCGCGGTCCCGCGTCTCCACCGCACCGCAGCTGGGCCCCGGGGCTCCGGGCTGCCCTCCGCCTCTTTGAGAAAGTCCATCAGCGATCTCGACCAGACAGCCACTGCGACAGACCTCGTTACCCATGTGATTAAGTCGGGGACGCTGCGGGCGTGAAAGGCGCTTAGTTTTTGTTTTCAATCACGTTCCAATGTGGGTTATGCTACCGCTGGGGAAGGGGAGACGACAGGCCGATCTCCAGTTCTAAGAGCCCAGGGTTTCGGGGCGAAGCCTCCCCGCAGCCACACACCCGCTTCTACCGAGACAGCTGGGCTCACCGCCGATGCCCGCGCGCGCCCACGTCCCGCCGCGCGCGCCCCACCCGCCGCACCGCTGCGCAAGGCCCCCAGGAGGCGGACTGTCGGTCCGGCCGCGGCACCCGGGGGCGTCGGCGCCCACCGATGGCTGTGCTCGGTTGGTGAGAACGAGGGCACCTGTGGCCTCTGGGCCGGGAGCAGGAAAAGCCCCTCAGCCGCCTCCGACCGCCTTAGACCAGGCGCTCCGATCCCGCGAGGTCAAGCACGGGGCTGGCCGCCGCTGCACCCCCGGGGCAAGCCCAGGGCAACGCAGAGCCCTGAAATCCGCACCAGTCCCGGGAGCGCGCGCCTGCAGCGCCCGGGAGAGACGCGCCGGGCGCCCGCGGGGCGCGCTCACTGCCTGCCCAAAGCAGCTGGAATCGATCCAGAACCCCAACCCCAAAAGTCCGTTCGGCTCACTTGAACTTGCAGAGAGGTGCGGATGGGGAAGGGGCGCCCGACAGTCCCTTCCTCTAGACGAAAAGGTTCGAAGCTCTCTCCCTGGTCGGCCCCAGGTTCCCCGGACTCAGGGCGCAGAGAAAGTGGGCGGCAGGAGCCCCGGCCGAGGTCGCGCCCGGGACCGGCCCTCACTTGGAGAACTGAGCCTGCACCGCCGCCAGGCTCAGGCCGGCGGGGACGAGGTGCGGGAACTTGCACACTGCGCAGGTGCATATGCCGGGGCCTCCCGCGCCGCCGGCGGGGAGCGCGAACTGGCCGCACGGCGGCTCGTCCAGCGCCAGCGACAGGTACTTGGCGGGGCGCAGTGCGTCCGGCGGTCCCACGGCGCCCGGCGCCAGCAGCACAGAGCCGGGCGCGGCGGCCAGCAAGGGCAGGCCGGCCAGCAGCAGGCGTGGCGCGGCGGGCCCGGCGCCCTCGCCCAGCGCGCGGCGCAGCTCCTGCAGCGAGCTACCCAGCAGCAGGATGTAGTTGCGGGCCAGCAGCAGCGTGGCGATCTTGGACAGCTTGCGGCCCGGCGCGCCCTGGCAGTGCGCCGCCGAGTAGGGCAGGATGACCTCGCGCAGCGCGTCCATGGCCAGGTTCAGGTCCTGCATGCGCTTCCGCTCGCGGCTGTTGATCTTGCGCCTTAGTTGCTGCTGCTGCTCCTCCTTGGCGTCCGCCCGGGCGCCCGCGGGAGCGCCGGATCCCAAACCCGTGCCTGGCGGCTCGGCCGGCGCCTCCGGCTTCTCGCGGGCAGCCTTGGGGAGGAGGGGGGCCGTCGTGGAGGAGGAGGAAGAAGAGGAAGAGGAGGGCGGCTGCCGGTAGCCCACCAGCTCGTACAAGGAGGTCCCGGGCTGCGCGTCTCCGGGCCCGCTGCGGCCGCAGCATGGTCGTGGGGGCCGCGTTCACGCGCGCCTGGGAAACCGCATAGTACATTTGGGGGAGGTGGGGGCGGCCGAGCGCGCGCTCCAGGAACGCCCCGGGGTGGGCCCGTGGCAGGCCGCCCCTCCCCGCGGACCCGCGAGCGCTGAGCTAAAGCTGGAACCGCAGCCCGCGCCCGACCCCTTTAAACCCGGCTCGGGGAGCTGCGGAGCCGCGGCGGCGGGGCGCAGCCAATGGGGTGGCGCGGAAGAGCGCAGACGCGCGTCCATTGGCCGCCTGCGCCTCGGCCGGCGCGGAGGTGCGGCCGGCGCGGCTCCCGGGCTCGCGGAGCGCCTGGCCCAGCGCAGGACGCGCCTGGGAGCGCGCTGGGGCGGCTTTGCGCTTGACGCTCTGTGTTCAAAGACCTTTTAGCTTTAGCCCCCTCCTCTCTGCCTCTACTTAAAGAAATTTAAAAAAAAAATGCATTTAAAACACTGTGGTCAAACATTCATCACAAAATTCCCACCTTGGTCAGCCTTAGGAGTACAGCTCAGTAGAGGTGTTGAAAACATCCACGTGGTTGCACAGCTGAGCTCCAGAGCTGGTCATCTTGCAAAACCGAAACCCGCAGCGCTTGCCTGGGCGCTGTGCCTCCCAGGCTCCTGGCAGCCACGGCCGGGGGTCGGCTCTGCGAATTACTCCCTTCTAGGCACGCCGAGCGAGAGAGCGGTGCAGGGTTTGATTGTGGCGACTGGCCTACTTTGGTTAACGTAATGTCCTCCCGTGTTGCAGCGTGCACCAACGCTTTCTTCCTTTTTATGGCTGATTCCTCCACTTTATCTGCCGACCACATTTTGCTTCTGCGCTTATCTGTGCATGGGTACTTGGGATACTTCCGCCTTTTGGCTGATGTGAATGTTGCTGTGAGTGTGGGTGTAACATGCTTTTATTAAAAAAAATACTGCTAGATTCACAGAACTAAATTTCTGGGCTACATGGCTAGCAGCATTCGGATGTTTGCTTCTCCATCCCTCTGATTTAAAGGATTTTAAAGACTAGTGAGCTTTTGGGGTTGGATTTCTCTCCTTTCCAAAAAAAAGGCATGTGTTCATTCTACCGGTGACTCAACTATTTTTAATGTGTGTGTGTGATGGAGAAAGAGATAGAGATGGAGAAAAGAGAGATCTCCCATTAGCTGCTTCCCTCCCCAAATGCCCGCCACAACTGGGGCTGGGCCAGGGAGAAGCCAGGAGTTCGGAACTCAACCCACGTCTCTCACAAGGGTGGCAAGGATCCAACTACTTGAATCTCCCAGAGTGTGCATTAGCAGGAAGCTTGAATGTGAAGCCGGGCCAGGACTCAACCCCAGGCAGTCTGATACAGAGTGTGGGCGTCCCAAGTGACACCTGCTCCAAATGTCCACACACACACACACACACACACCACCCCTGGTGACTCAACTCTTGCTTAAGCACACCTCACTCTGAAGTTGGCCTCTTATCAAAACAAAACAGAACAGAACACCCACACACTCTTATCTGCTGAGGGTGGGGCTGAATTTTTCTCTTCCCCAAATAAAATTGCGTTGCGTGGTGTCTCTGGAAGTTTTCCAGCCCCCATACCAGCGTGGACTGCTGCAGCGTGTCCTTGGAGCGTGGCAAAATGTCCCAGGGAAGAGGGCCCTTTAAGCATCTACACCCTGGGCCATCCAGTGAGGTGGCCAGTAGCCACAGTTGGATATCTAAAATAGTGAACATAAATGAAGTTCGCATGTAGCTCCCCAGTTGCTCTCGCATTGCTGTAAGGACGTAGCAGTCACAGGCAGCTAGTGGTTCTCTGTTGGATGCCATTGATACAGAACGACTCCAGCATTGTAGGGAGTCTTACTGGAAATGCTGATTTGGAGAGTAACAGAAAGAAATGCGCCCATACCACCCGGTGTCCTTGGTGCAGGAAGAGGGAGCCGTGGGAGGCCAGTGCGCCACAGAGCCTGAGCCCTGTCCCAGGAGCCCATGGATTGTGCTTGCTGCTTTCTGGGCTGTTTTGCCCGGGGTTTGCCCCGTAGGCTCCCTCTGGCCTCTGCTTCCGACCTCCAGCCTTGCCTGTAACATCCTGCCCCTGCCTCGGGTTCGACTCCAACTCACTTTCTCCTGTAAGCCTGGCCGATTTCTCATCTTCCTCCTCGCATTCCACTTAGCGAATCCTCCATAGCGTTCCTGCATAGCCTGCACCGTGCGAAAGAGCTGCCATCTCTGCCTTCTGCAGGGTGCCTGGGGGGCAGGGACCACCTGCTTATTTCTGCTTCCCCCCAAAGCCCATAATGTTTTGCACCTCCCATATGCCCGGGGGGCACTGCAGGGGGTGCTGGTGGTGGTGGTATTTAAGGCTGGATCTGAAATCTCCACTAGCCCAAGGCTCATCACTTGAAATGTGCACTCTCCCACCAGCGCTCTCATCCAAGAGTTTCCTGGAGGTCTTACTGAGTGGCAAGGAAGCTGGCAGGATCCCCTGACCCTCAGAGAGGCATGGCTGACATGGTGAGGGGGATTTCACTTAGGGAAGGAGGAGGCCATGGCAGGAAGGGACTGAGCCCCAGGCAGGACCCTAGGAGGTAGAGAGAGAGAGACAAAGACCAAGGAGCTAGCCTTGTACATTGCAAGCAGTGAAGCCCAGCACCCCAGTAGTTACTTTACCTTTTGTGCAAGCCGCCTGCTTTTCTAGCATTTGGACCCACACCTTTGCATGTGGTTTTCACATGCCCGTGAGCCAGGTGTTTTGGATCCCTGCTGTTTCACAATAAACCAGAGACTCCCAGAGGCTGATGGATTGGCTGTGTGCCTTCAAGACAGGGGAGGCGGAATAGCCCCATCAGCAGCTGGCTTCTCCAATTCCCTCCAGCTGGGCAAGGCCTCCAAGGGGCCCAGGAGGGGGCCGTGGACGAGAGGGCTGGGGACTGCGTGGAAGGAAGGAGGGGCCGGCCTAGGCCTGGCCAGTGTCGATGAGCTGATGGGTTCCAGCCATGAGGCTGAAGAGAAGGGTCCCCAGGATTCTATTGCCATAAGCCCTGCATCAGCCCTCTTGGTAGGGACCACTGTCGCTCTCAGGGACAGCCACTCTAGTTTCTTCCTCTGCCCACGTCACAGGCAGGGGCCCTAGGGCCTTCCCCTCCTAGTGGGAAGAGGAGATGAATGAGGAAGACAGATCCTAATGTCTAGGCCAGAGTTGCCTCGACTGGATCCTCCATGGTTCCCAGCCACAGGCAAGGGCACCCAGGAATCAAAGAGATGGAAACAGGGCTGGTGCTATGGCACAGTGGGTTAAGCTGCAGCCTGCAGCCTTGTGGGTGCTGGTTTGTGTCCTGGCTGCTCCATTTCCGATCCAGCTCCCTGTTGATGCACCGGGAAAGCAGCAGAGGATGGTCCGGGTCTGTGGACCCTTGCTCCCATGTGGGAGACCCGGAAGAAGCTCCTGGCTTCAGCCTGGCCTAGCCCCAGTTGTTGCAGCCATTTGGGGAATAAACCAGAGGATGGAAGATGTCTCTCTCTCTCTCTCTCTCTCTCTCTCTCTCTCTCTCTAACTCTGCCTTTCAACTAAATACATAACTCTTTTTAAAAAGATAGATGGAAACATGCAAACTGTTCTCCACTCCCCCAAAGCACCCCTTTACTGGGGGTGTCCCCCAAGCCCCCCTTTAAACCTTGACTTCATCTCATTTCCACCTTCTCAGAGGAGAGCAAACTGTGCCCCGGCCAAGAACGCTGCCCCGTGGGCACACTGGTCCCTGTGCACCAGCGAGCTCTGCTGAGGGCCCCCCACGAGAGTTCCTGGCAGCCGTTTGGACCCAGCATGGGCGCAGGGTTTGGCTCTGTTGGAGCTGGCGACTTGGACGGGCCCTTGTGCCAGGCCGGAGCTCCAGCGGTATGCAAAGTGTGACAGCTGGCAGGGGCCAGTGAGTCATTGTGGCCGCTGGCAGGGCCCCATGGCTGTCTCAAAGGGTGGCAGCTGTTGCGGCCTCCCACATTCAGGACATACTTGGGAAGCAACTTGCGTCCGCCATAACAACCACTCTTGTCTTTGCCTAGAGCGGCTTGGGTGTCTGTCTGTGTGTGTGTTGGTGGCTCCTTTCAAGCCAAGGAGGTGTGTGTGTCACTTCCTTTTCCTTAGATAGAAGCTTAGTGTCTCCTGTCCCTGCCTGCAAGCCTGCTGCCCACCCTTGCTTTGGGTCAAGAAGTTGGAACCTTTGAAACGGCAGACAATGGAGGATTCAAAGCTGGGGTGACGGGTGAGTGTGTCTGGATGGGACAGCATCCATGCCCTCTGTGAGCACAGGGCCAGGCCGTGCTGCTCAGAGCCCCCGTTGTCCCTCCTCTCACTGCCCCCTTGCAGAGGGCGGCCGAGAGGAAGAGGGTCTTTGCTAGAACATGCTTCGGAAGCTGGCTGGAGCTAAGCCCTGCCGTGGCATCCCAGGGTTCACTCCCGAGTGTGCTACTGAGGTCCAACTTCTCTAGAAAGTGAAAATCAGCCCCTAGGTGTCCCAGGTGACACCACTGCTGTGAAAACTGGCAGCCACGTCCAGTGTCTGCCCCCCTCCCATCCACACAGGACCCTGCCCGGAATGCGAAAGGGAGGGAAGGGGTGGCGGAGGGGGATGAGGCTTGACCTTCTTTCTGGATTTCTGCTTTCCGGGTAGAGGGGAGTAGGAGGAGAGAGAAGAAAGGGGATGAGGCCGGGGTTACTGTTTGGTTGTTGTTCTGGTATGGAGAGGAGTTCCTTAGGACTCGGTCGCTTCTCGCTCACCTAAGGACCATCTGGCCAGCTGCACTCGGGAATAGGTCAGGCTAAGTAAAGATTCCTGCTGGGAAAAGGGGAAGGGCTATGAACTGGGTTCATTTGCAAATCAGAGCACAAGTTAGTGGGGTTGTAAGAGCTGATGGAGGGATACAGTGTGAGTGAAAGTCTAGGCAGCTGTCAGTTGTCTCTGTTCCCAGCATGCTCTGTTCTGATGTTAGCACTAAAGAGGATCCCAGGTAGGGGCTGGTGTTGTGGTGTAGTGGGTGAAGCCACGGTACGGGAGTCAGGCTGAGCCCTGGCTGCTGCACCACTGATCCAGCTCCCTGGAACACACCCGGGAAAGCAGCAGCAGAAGGCGCAAGTGCCTGGGCTACTGCACCCACGTGGGAGACGGGGATGGAGTT